GGGTGCCACAGAGGCATCAGGACAAGTTGGTCTTCTGTTGAACCTCATGGTTGCTGACACCTCTAATGGGCCTAAAAATAGAGATAAATGAACACTGAACTGATGCAAAGAACAGGAAGTCCAGGCCTGGCTTGTTTACTTGGGAGAAGGCTTGAAGACCTACCAGAGAGTCTCAGCAATAAGGGAGGAGATGGTAAAGCAGCCACTGCTTAAACCTGGGAGTTGCAGACCTTGTCAGGCAGCTGCATTATGAAATAGCAGTTCTGCCTGCTGGGGCTGCACCATCCAGTTCCATTGAGGATCCATCCAATTAAACCAAAATGGAAGTGGAAATCATTTTTCAAACAATCCTGTACATATTTTGAGTGACAAACTCCCACAAAATGTCTTGGCCCCTTCACAACAGCTGGATTTGCCAAAACATGAAACGTACGGCCTTACAGCAGTTTGTACTTCGGGTGCAAGCCGGAATGTCTAACAACATATGTTCCGAGTTTGGTTCACAGCCCTGTTTGACTGTAAACAGTTTGCTCATATTGACTCATAGCATAAGCATCTCAGGGAAAGTGGGGACTTCTCATGCAGCTTACAGCCAGACAGATGTGTTGCTTCTCAATTATCCGTAAGCTTTGGGGCTTGAGGAAGTCTCACTGCAAATTATTTTCTCTCATATCCCAGATTTTATCTGGGTCCATGAAAGCCATAGTGACTTTGTCAAGCTGCTCTTGTCCCTGCTCCCAAGCCCTGTCTGCAAGCAGTCCTGGCTGGGCGGCGGGGAACACCCAGCTTCTTCTCATGCCATTGGAGGTACATCAGTGCACTTGAGCATGTTATTTGTTTCAAAGTAAACAGTTATACTTCACTCTTGAAATGTCTAGTTGAGCTTTAACACTAGTGACCAAGGCCAGTGACAGCCCTGCTTGTCCCCAGATCCAGCACAGCTTGAGCAGCAACAGGACAAGCTTTCCCACTGGTCACCAGAGAGCTCTCCTGGGGGACACGAGCAGAGTTTAGCATCCACAGCCCTTTGCTCCCCGCTCCTTTGCCAGAACTGCCCCAAAGGGGTCAGCAGCAATGGAGGTTTAAGGATGTGAAAAGCCATGCCCAGCTGACCAACTCCCTCCCTCCCCTCTAAAAAGAAACACCCAAAGCTTAGTGCCTCAGTGGGTGGCTGCTGGTTTAGGGACAAGACTGTGAGATGCGATGCACGGGCTGGGAACAGTGGGAATAGTCAGTAGCCATCGGAATCCACCTGGGCAGATCCTTTAAACACTGCTCATCTTGTGAGACGGGTTTGGAGAGAGGCTGGCACCAGGAACAGCCTTGCCTCTACCTCAGCCCAGCCAGTAGCATACCTAGGGGTGGGCGAGAGGAGCACCAGCCCCGGGCACTGACTTAGGAGGGGCACCACAACTGCCCCGCTCCTGTGGCGTCTGCCCCCTGCAGCCACACGGCACTGCTCTTGCAGCGCAGCTGGTGCAGGGACATGGCACGGCTCCTGCTGCTGCTGCAAGAGCAAGTGCTGGGGTGGGCAGGGGCAGCTGGCAGGCTGGGGTAGGACTCCCACCCCCTGCTCCTGGACCCCAGGCACGCGGCCCTCCCTGCTCCCAGAAGTGCTCCTCTCCCCGCAGGGCGCACACCGTGCCATGGAGCCCAGGAGCAGAGCCTGTCCCACAGCACCCCTCCTGCTCCGACCAGAGGACTCACTGCACAGACGGCACGTGAGCACAAGGCACGCTCATAACCCCTGCCTGCCCTTTTCCAGGCTGCAGCCTAAAGTTATGCCAAACTTAGACTTGAAGATGTCACCATGAGCTCAGCTGTTGGTAGATCTACCTGCATTGGCTGCAACCTGTCAGCAATAGGGACACTGTCCCTTCAGTGGGTAATGTCAGCTGCAGGCCACGCTCGATTCTGTGGTTTAATGACCAAAGGAAGGTGCCTCCGGACAAGGGAGCGTCGTAGAAGGAGAAACATGGAACACAGCAGAGAGGAAACGAACACACCTTTCAGACAGACCATCTAGATCAATGTCCAGTGGGTGAACACAAACGAGAGATCTGCTTTTGTCTGATTTTGTTTTCTATCTTTTCTCGTACAAGCCAAATCCCTTCTCTTCGCATTTGCTCCCGCTACAACCTGTTTGCCATGTCCCTGAGAACTGAAGGAACTTAACACCCAGTTGGGTGAGGCACTCTGGCACATCACGGTCTTCTGTTTAAAGATCAAGCAAATCCCAGAAAATGCATTTTTAATCATTTCTTCGTCCAGAATTTCACCCACAACCACACGTGTAAGAAAGGTAGAAGGAAACAAGCTTTCTGAGTAGAAGGTTCTGCAGTATTTCAGCTAAAGCTTGATGGGTTTGGGCTCCAAGACGACCGAGAATGCCTGCTCTGCTCCCAAAGTGCCATGGTCCCATGTTCCTCCTGTGTCACAGTAGTTGAGGACAGATGGGAATAGATAAAGTACATAGTACGTAACAGCAGGGCCATGTTCTGGACAGGTCAGCATGCTCACACCTCTTTGAACAGATGGTTGGCTGACAGGCAAGGGCTGGTAGGCTGCTAACACATGTATGTTTTGCTACGGCCTTTCACATGAAGGCTCTGTCAGACTTTCCTGCAGTCAAAGCTGAAGCCAACAAGATTGTCCCAAAGGAGGCTCTGCATTGCTTAAAACTTTCTGATTTGAAAATTTCCCTCCACCCTCTTGTGGATGGCTCCACAAGAGAGCTGTCCACACATGCACACACAGATTTGCAGTGCTTTCCACCAGATGTTTCCAAATTATTGGCAAATAATAACATGCCTGAAAATGCTGAACTTTCCCACCTCTCCAATAGCTCTATTCCCTGGGCCGGGCCCCAGCACAGAGACTCGAAGCCCTAGAGGAGAAGCCCTAACTTTTCTGAAGTTACAAGCACATTAAACTGAAGTGGGGGGTGGAAAAAATGTCTCAGCATAATTTCTAAGCTTAACAGAGCTTCTCTCAGGTCACAACCATGGCCTGTGAGGCACCAAAATCCCTACTGGCGTGTCCCTGTGCTGCCCTGCAGGTTTGGTGACGGGCTTTTTCTTTCAGTTTTTCTGGTGTCACCTGCAGACTCATTCAACCTTTTCTTTAGTACCAGTAATTGGGTAGCACACTGAGAAAATCTGATGCCTGTCATCTGATTATATTAAATACTCACAAGTGTGTGAGCACACAGACCACAGAGTGCTGCTGAAGAAACCATAACACATGGCTGAAACTAGAATTAGGGAGCTCAGTACAAAGTCCCCAAATGTTACTGGAGTGCTAAACCAGAACTTCAGTGCAGATATACTGGTATAATCATTCTTCTCTGCATTTATGGAAACGCATGCACGTGGGGAAGAACAGAACTCAATGCCTACAAACGCGATAAGGCAATGCACGTAGACAAGTGAATATTTCTGTAATGAAAAAGGGGTAGGGCTTCTTTAGGTAAACCTTCTCTCTGTGCTTATTACAGGCTGCCTGCTGCTTCCAGCCACAACACGCTGCAAGCACACCATCTCACGCACCAGCTCCGGCAGCAGACTGCCTGGCTAAACAGCGGCTCGACAGAAAAGGACCTGGGGTTACAGGGGACAATAAGCTGAAGGCGAGCCAGCAGTGTGCCCTTGCTGACAAGAAGGCTAATGGCATCTGGGCTGCCTTAGTAGGAGCACTGCCAGCAGGTCAAGGGAAGTGTTTCTTCCCCTCTAATCAGCACTGGGGAGGCCACATCTGGAGCACTGTGTCCAGCTGTGGGCCCCCACTACAGACAGGATGTGGACATGTTGGAGAGAGTCCAGCGGAGGGCAACAAAAATGGCTCAGGGGCTGGGACGCTTGACTGGTGAGGAGAGGAGGAGGGACCTGGGCTGACTGAGTCTGGAGAAGAGAAGCCCGAGGGGGATTGAACAGCAGCCTTCACCTCCCTGCAGGGGGGCTGCACAGAGGATGGAGCTGGGCTGGTCTCAGTGGGGGCAGGTGACAGGACAAGGAGCAATGGGCTCAGGCTGCAGCAAGGGAAGTTGAGGTTGGATATTAGGAAAAACTCTCTGACGAGGAGGGTAGTACAGCACCGGAACAGGCTCCTGAGAAAGGTGGTGCACTCTCCACCTGGGTAGACAGAGCCTTGGCTGGGATGATATCGTTGGGACTGGTCCTAATTTGAGCAGGGGCTGGACTAGATGCGGCCTCCCGAGCTCCCCTCCCGCCTTGATCTTCTAAGATCCCATGAGAGAGCGCGACCGCTCAGCAGGTGAGGATGCTTTCAAATAACTGTGCTTCTCCCCTGCACGGGCCCGGACAAGGAGTGAGCTACTTATTGTAACTATAACCAACAGAGCAACTCTTATATTATGAATCTATAGCCACCCCACTATTGTTATGATATGGGATGTACCTACTGAACATTTGGAAAAAGCCAAAATGGTCCAGCAAATCTGCCCCTCAACATACCTTAAAGTACAAAGTGACAACACAGTAGTAGTTTATTGCCGTAGGATTTAACAAAAACAGATCTGATACATTTCCCTTTCAACCTGAGGAGCTAGGTACGTTTTATTTTCTGAGCATGAACAGATTTAGTTGTAGCCACAGTACAGCCATTCAGCTGAACTTCAACATTTATGGCAAGTTTCCTAAGATCTCTGGAAATCATATGACAGCTGAGGATGATGGCAGGTGATGGGGATTAGGAAATGGGTATGTAGCTCTTCACTTTAAGGCAGCCGTTTTAATTTGGCCACCTGGTTCATAGCGAGTGACCAGCGTTGATGTTTAATTGGTCTTGTGCAACGAGATGATGGTCTAATGCCTGTTCCCCCCAAAATGACCATATCATGGTTGGCATCTCTAAGGGCACCATCGGTAGAGTGGGTCTTGAATGCACAGGAAACAACTTACCCTAGGAATAGGACAGGGAGGGGTGGGGAAGTCTGGGCAGTTGAGTGAGCTGTAAAGGTATGGACAGACATCTCATCTGACTTAGGACCAACTGTCCTGGGGTTTGACCCCGATCAAAATAGGAGCGACACAGTCATTTTAGGCAGTGCCCT